AAAAAAAAAAAAAAGAAGAAAACAAGAGAAAACTGTAAAATAAACAACTAAACAAAGAAAAAAAATTTAATTAACCAAATAATCCATTGTAACTTTTGGTTACACTATTGCTTTTTTTTATTTTTTGACACCTTTTCTGTATAATATACAAAAATAATTGTAAACAGAACAAAATAAAGCAAACAAAGAAGAAGAAGAAAAAGAGTTTAAATAAACAATGAAAAAGTTCTGTATTGAAAATTAAAGTCAACAAAAAAATTACGGAAAAGTCGTTTTATTTCATTGCTTCTTTTCTTTTTTTTGTACTCCTTTTTATTAATTAAACAAATATTATAAGAATAATTAAACATTTTTGTGTAGAAAAAAAAAAAATAAAGATAATGATTTGAAGACAAATATCTGTAAAAAAAAACTTAAAATTTACATCCTTCCCTTTGCCCAGTCGTCTCACTCCCTTCCCCACCTCCTTTTACCCCTCAAATTAAAAGAAAAAAAAAAACTGTTGTCTACTCTTTGAAAAAAGCTATTTTGCTTTTTTTCTTGTTCAAAACGAAAAATGCAGCATTTTTTAAATCTTCCACTTCTTTCCTTTGTTTTTTCATCATCTTCATGCATTTTTTTTTTTTTGAAAATAGTAGGTAATTCAAACATTAATTGTTTGAAAAACTTGAAAAAAAATTTTTTTCTTTCATTTAGAAATAAAATTTATTCAATTCTATACTCTTCATTTTTTGAAAGGCAAAAAAAATTAAAGAAGAAAACAGGAGAAAGTTCAAATCATTGCAAACAAAAAATTAGCTTTTGAATGAACACTAAAATTATAGTTCCTTAATTTTTGATAATAAAAAATTTAAATTTTTTTTGAAATAAAAAGAAAATAGAAAAACTTGAAAAAAATAAATTACTTTTTATAAAATTTGGAGAAAAAAATAGTAAACTTCCTTCTTCTATTTTGTATACGTAATTTTAAATCATAACAGCTTTTCAGAAGCCAAAATAACCGCTCTGCTATGTTCCCGTAAAATTGCAGTCACTCATTGACAATCATTTAAGCCGACCAAAGAATCTG